GTCCTGGATTCCCTGTGTTTCCAGTTCCTATCTGAACCAGTGTATGTCCTCTGGTCCAGGCAGATTTGTAAGGTAGGATTGGGATCATGATGGGGGGGAGGGGTAAGGAAGCATTCAACAACTAGAGGAAAGTTAGTTGTATGTTTCATCATTGCTACACTGCATATTGACTGGCTTGTCTCCTCCCCACAACCCTTCTGTAAGGGGATGTTCAGTTGCCTACAGATGGGTCTTGAGTCCCCAATCTGCACTCCCCCTCATTCACAATGATTTGATTTTTTGTTCTTTGATGTCTGATACCTGATCCCTTCGACACCTCATGATCACACAGACTACCCCTAATTAGCTGTAGGGCAAGTCTCTTGACTTAGAAGTGCCTTGGACTTCTACCCACTTATCTCTCAAACAAGAGGGATTACCTGGATAAATGGTAAGGTTCCCTCTGTTCTTGTATTCTCTGACTCATGTCCAGGATGCTTGCAGGTCTGTCTTTATGTGGAGTGGAACTCTGTACTTTGTAGTCATGACACTGACTTCTCTACTCGGTCGCCTTTCTTATTAGCATCTGGGGTGTTTTGATGTATGAAAACTTAAAATCAGAAGCATTTGTTGTATAAATAGAGCAGTCTGAAAGTGGAGCTTCAGCTTCTGTTGAAAGTCTTGACACGAGTAGAATCCATGTTGAATTTTAAAAGCTACCTTTGCGAGCAACAGTTCCTCCCTCCATGAGGCAGGCCTAGCCTTCTACCCTAAAGAAGATAATCCTTGTCTCTGAGGTCTGGTAGTGGAAGGACATCACAGTCTATTTCCAGAGGGTCTTTTCACTGTCATCAAAAAGATGCCAGATGTGATAGCTTCTACCCCAAGACCCTTGATACACATCATTATTGGTAAATCTTTATAATGGACCCTCATGACAGAGGAAGCAATTTTACTAACAGGTTGCCAGAAAAGTCTGTCCTGCCCCCATCTGGTGACCCTCATTTAGGAAAATGAAGGGTATGTACTATGACCCAAGCATGCAACTCGCCTTAGGTGTTACCAACCTCTCCCAGCAAAATCCCTGCTTCTAGATACACTTTCTCTCCCTGATTGTTTTAACCAATTACACCTTTGTAACTTTTCGTTCTACTTACAACTGGACACAAATGTCTTTTTCCTCATTTTCCGGTGGAACAACCATTTTTCCCCTGTGCGTTTGGACCAACTTCCTGGCCTGGTGATGACTGTCTCCCCTGTCTTCCATAAACCTAGTATGTTGCTTTCACTTCGCGCAGACTCCATCATGTTTCTCTGCGGCATAATGTACTGCGTGAAATAAAAATAACCAATGGCAAAACATTAGAGTTAAATATTAAATTGGAATCTATGACAAACATTAAAAGAACGCCAGAGGACTGTTGGTCAGATATTCAAGAAAAGCTTCCTTGCATTGTGTTAAACTGCATACAGGAGTGGAGGTGACTTAGAGTGGCAAGTCTCATGTTTTTAAGTTTGAATGTCTCTGAACAAAGCATCTTTCAAAACAAAGAAAGAAACTTATTTTTCTGCCTTAAATTAAAACAATATAAGTGAAGGGTCTACTTCGGTGGAGGAAAGTGTTCCATTTCCTCCTCTTTTATAAGACACCGGCCATAAAGCACAAACCTTCAAAGGGAGACACAAGCAAGGGCACATTCACAAGTACGGGAGTTACGAGGTCAGTAAATTTTATTGGGGGACACAATTCAATCCATAATAGTGAAGCAAAAAGGAGACTTTTGGAGTCTCATAACCTAAAGCATTCAGCATGTTTGGTGTAAACCCTATAGTAAGGGCTGGATTCTATGCTACCGCTCATGACCTTGGCTTTTTTTCCTGTATTGGCTTTATTTAATTATATACAGCATCTTCTTGGCTCTGATTGGATGGTTTGTCCTCCAGAGCCACTTCAGCCGGGGGGAAGTTGTCCTGATTGGCCGGCTTATATTCCTGAATCCTTCCTCGAGCCGGGAACTCCTGTCAACAGTGGCAGTGGAGAAGGTGATTCCTTAGAGGAAAACTGGCAATTACTCCCAAAGAAGGGGAAATGAATGCCTGGTGAAAAAGAATGAATATTCATTACATGTGTCTTCTTAATTTAGGTCATTGTGGATATTCATTTCTTTTGCTTGATGGCACAGAAGGCCATCAAGCAATCTATTTTGTGATTAGGTAGTGTACAGCTAGAATTGAAATATTAATACCAGTTATTATTTTAGTTAATTTACTTATTTATATTAAGTAAATAAGACAAATATTTTATCTAATTACTATTTGAAGTCTAAACAATACCATCTATAAAGTATATTACCTTAATGAAATATTTTAACACAATAGTATTGAATATCTGATATCTTACTTTACTGGTGATAATTATATTAAATAATACTTCGCAAGCAGTATTGCATTTGGTATCAATTGTTCACAAACAACTAATGTGGCCCCTGTGTGAGATGTCAGTTCAGATTATAGGGAGGCATTATTAAGGTGCTGTCAAACCCCTTAAGAGCCCTGGTGGTGTCGTGGGTTAAGAGTTGGGCTGCTTAGGTCAACAGTTCAAAACCGCTAGCTGTTCTTTGGGAGAAAAATGGGGCTTTTTTTTTTTGCCTGTGAAGTGTTACAGTCTCAGAAACTGACTGGGCAGCTCTGCCATGTACTATAGGGTTGCTATGAGTTTGCATGGACTCACTGGTGGTGCATTTGGTTTGGCTTGGTCAAATCTCAGGGAAAATATAGTTACCCACAACCAATCACTGTAACTTGGTTGGCATGACAGAGATTTTCAAAATGTATTAAAACCCTTACAAAGAGAGTAACTTTTTAATAGTTCAAATTTAAATTTTTGAATATTAGTAAAAATATTGAAATGAACTCAGTATATATATTTTTTCTTTTAAAAATCAGTATTTTTTAAAGTTAGAACATGATTCTATATTTCACACTACATCAATTTAATAATATTGTCCGTTTAATTTTGTTAAAGTAAAAATGTTTGTGTGATAATTGAGTGCAGAATAAAATATTAAGAGCCATGGCAATGTGTGGGTATGAGGAGGTATTATATTCTTACATTAATTTATTGAAATCAAACTAACGTTTTCTTAAAAAAGAAGCAACAAATGGATCACAATAAAACGAACATTATCCATTAACGTGTTTAAGAGGATATACAAGGAACAGTAGAGATGAATGTAATTGGCAAATGACTTAGAACGTATATCTTGATAGGAATATCTTAAAAGGTGGTCATTTTGTCTATTTAACTGAAGAACAGGGCTATGAAAAAGGGATTAGACTATCGAGGGCAGAAGTAGAACCAGGGAGTTACGATTACAGGGAAACTTTTCAATGCGATAGAGGACAAAACTTTCTCAACCTACAATGCATCAAAATGGAAGCGGCGTTTTGCATAAGGGAGTAAAGTGCAGGTTCCTGGAAGTGTCGAGGCAGATGCTACATAATTACCTCACTTGGACGTTTTAATGGAGATCTTGCCTTGAATGAGAAAATGAAGTTCAAGGTCCTTTCCAGCTTTCAGATCTATTGCAAGTCCTTGTAAAATCTTTCTGTCACACACACACATACACACACACACACACTTTCTCTCTCTCTCTCTTTGAGATACATTGTTGCTAGGTGTTGTCAAGTCCACTTCAATTCATGGCAACCCCATGTGACAGTGTAGAACTGTCCCATACAGTTTTCTTGGCTGTAATCTTTATAGGAACAGATTGCCAAGCCTTTGTCTTGTATTGCTTGTATTAAACATTTGCCATGAGGACCCTCTCTCTCCCCTCCCCATGTTCTATTGGTGTGATACAATGACTATTAGTTAAGTGGAAAGATGTTTTGTAAGTTTACATATGAATTTTAACAGCTGCAAAACTAAAACTTCATCCTTTGATTTAAGTATTATGGATACTTTAAAAAAAGAGAGAGAAAGAAAGGAGAAAGAATGGTGGATAAAGTCTGGTGGCTGGTAGGTTAAGTGTTGGGCTGCTAATCAAAAGGTCAGTGGTACAAATCCACCAGCTGCTCTGTGGGCGGAAGCTGAGGCAGTCTGCTTTCCATGAAGGCTTAACGGCTCAGAAACCTTAGGGGGCAATTGTACCCCATCGCAAAGAGCTGCCATGAGTGAGAAGAGACTCCATAGCAGTGATGGATTTTAGGAAAAGAGGGAAAACACTAATAAATGAAGAAGGTAGGAAAATAAAGCATCTACCTATTGAGTGCCTACTATACATTAGCTGTATCGGACTCGGTACTTTATCATCTCATCTTAATGAGTTTTTCATTGCTTGGTTTGGAGATGTTTCTTAAAATGATGAGTTCTTAAATTAATTGATATTTTCTTATGTGTTTGTTGGTGGTGCGGCACAGGACTGTTCTGATGGCTACATGTGTAAGACGCATTTTCACCTTAAAAACAGGACTGTGGAGTCGCATGCAGACACAGCTGCCCAAGTACAAACGTGCCTTCCTACCGAGGTGAGTAGCTTAACATGCCATGATCTCATTTTGGTCTTTGTAAGGTAAAAATGAAAAATTTAATTCTGTAAAAATTATGTTTTTGGATTTTTTTAAAGCTTTAGTTGAGTTGGAAATTTTCAGGGAGACAATTGACCATCATTTTCAAGGTAGTATTGTGATAGAGTTCAAGATTCACTCTGAGTCTATACAGAATGCAATGAAACTTATTCCTTTTGCTTTCTCTTGAACCACAGGACCAAAGCTGTCTCCCATTTCATACTCCCCCCCTCCCCCAGTGGGAGCCCCTCAGGACAATACACATCTATCCATAGGCTGCTTAATATCTGACTGGAGATCTCTTTGCCTAGTCTGTTTCTAGTCCTTTTCCTTTATCCATGTACAAATGTGCTGCCTCTGGGTCCTATTCCCGAGGAGACTTTAATGTGGACTTGAACCTCTCACTAAATTAGATTTTATTATGGTGTTAATGGCTTAGTATTTTCCCCACCCTGGAACGGTTTCAATTTTCTTTTTATCAAAATGCAAACAGCCTTATGGGCTTTCTGCCCTACAGCACCCCGTGCTGTCGAGTAGAACTGTACTTCTTAGGGTTCATGTGGCTGTGACCCTCAAAAAACCACCAGGCCTTTCTTCTGAGGTGCTTCTGGGAAGGCTTGCATCACAGATCTTCCAGGTAGTAGATAAGTCTTCATCTTTTGCTATATTAAAGGATTGCTGGACTAAGCTGTCTGAATTTTAAATGAGGATTTGTGGGAACCTAACTGCTTCAACCAAAGGGAGAACCACTAATTGATAAAATTCTGAGCATCCTGATAAAAATGGGAGAAAAAACTTGTGTATATGAAGGAAGAGCTCTTTCTCAAGATCCCTTTGGCAACTGGAACATGTGTGTGATGCTGGCATGGAAGTAACACTTTCCATTGTACTACTGAGTATGATGCTTGCTAACATGCAGGCGTCCCTGGGTCAGTGCTTAAATCTTGATTACTGCTGCATGGTTCCAATAGCCAACATCAAGTCTGAAACCAAGCATGTGAGGAAACTGTTAGGTTTATAACATATTAATTTAAACTTCTACATAGAAATGGTCATTTAAAAGATGAATTGCCGCTTTTTGCCTTACAATGTGGCAAAGATTTAAAAGTCACTGGTATGAGGTGTATGAGGAGATTGAAACTTTCTGGTTGACCTTTTAACTTCACAAAGTTTTGAAATGTGCCCTCATTAAGAATGATCCATTCCAATTCATGAGAGTTATCCTCATAAAGTATAACATTTTCCAATACTTGATTATGAAAAATTTCAAACATGAAAAAGTTGAGAGAGTTTGGCAGAAAACATCCATACACTTGCCACCCGGATTCTACCATCAACATTTTGCTGTGCATCTTTTATTATGAATGTATCATTCTATCTACCCATCCTTCAATATACTTAATTTTTTATTGTGATATATTTATGTCAAAGTAAATTACACTAAAATATTCATAAAATAATCAGAAATGTCCAAAAAGTTTACTTGGCAAATATATTTATCCCCCCCACTATTTGTACTAGGGGAATTGGAAACAATTGGAATGTACATTCATAGTGCATTGATTAAGTAATGGCATATGTTTTGATGGATAGTAATTAGAAATTGACTTTTAGGTAACCATTTAATTACAAGAATCAAATGCCCATGTTAAGTGAGAAAAGAGCAGACTATTTTGCATAAACCATAGAATCCAAGTATGATTAACAACCTTTGAAATATCCTTTAACTTATGATGTAAGATTATTATTATTGTTAATTTGCTTATCTCTTCAAAGAGTGTACCCCTGACTCTTTTCTCTCCCCTCCTTGAAGCCCCTGGGAGTATTCTTGCTTGGTTCAGGGATTTCAGTTATAAAAAAAACCCCAAACACAAACTTGGTGCCCTCGAGTGAATGGCAACCCATACCGACACTGTAGGGCAGGGGAGAACTGCCCCTGTGATTGTCCGGTACTGACTCTGTTTTTTTTCTTAAAAGTATTTCTTTTTAAAAAATAAATCACTTTTT